GGCGGACCGCGTATGCCTGCCTTCTAGAGCGCAATTGGCTTGGTATGATGGATACGGTATCTCCACTCACGAGCCAATGGCGCTTTAGAGGGCAGGCATACGCGGCCCGCCCAAATAGCACTTTTTACGTCTGGAAAAGCGAGTTTTTGATAACTTTTGAAGCTGCAAAGCATAGTCTTGGACTTAGCTCATTCAGGGGAACCTAGAACGATGATTATCTCGAAGTTGTCATTCTGCAGAGCCGCTGCCTTTAAGAGTGTTATTACAGCATTCTCAGTGCAGACCAAACCCTCAGAAGCAAAGAACGTCTCGAAACAAGCTTGCAAATAGGTTGACAATAATCTATGAAAAGATTGTGCAAAAATGACTATCTCAGCCATGAAGAATCGTAGGAGCTATAAAGCATCACAATGCGTAAGAACAAAAGAGAAAAATTGTCTCACTATCTTTCGGACTCCTCTCCAATGCTTCTGGAAAATCATTGGGAATGTCGTCGTCTTGAATATCTGCTACTGAAAGAATGACTTCTCTTCGCACTGCACCGGACTGCAATATATCATTTCAAGAATCACACGCTCAACAATGAAAATCTAGTAGATAGTAAACATCAATAAACCTTATCTATTTGACGACTCAGGAGAATCTCGTACAGACGTTGCCTAAACTCCACAGAAAGGGCACGAGCGGTGCCAATGTCGCATTGCCCTCTACCGGCGCTCAGCACAAAACCCGTTATAGTACATACGTTCTGCCTTACCGTTGGATCTTCGCACAAAGACAGCTAAAAACGAAAGATGGGTATGGTAAGAAAAGCAGAAAATGTGGTAAACAGTACCTCTTCGCAGAAATGAATGACAAACTCCAAAAAGTCGGGTATGCCTTTCCTCCATTGATTCACGAAAAAGTCAGCGAGAAATCGAAACACTCGACGTCGGTTATCAAGTGAGGTTAGTGCTTCAACCTAGAATAAGCCTTGCCATCTGCAGCAACAGGATTGGTAGAAGACTTGACCTACCATAAAGCACAACCTGTGCTGGATTTTTTCAAAAAAGATCTTCTTCATTCTAGGTTTATCCTCGGCACTTAATTCTTGAATCTGGAAATTTGCGACGATAGAACATAGATCCAATTAACGAAGGTACCTTGTTAAAAGCATCTTGAAGCATTTCAGTGGCATACTGGGGTCCAGCTATACCACATGTTGTTGTATAAACAGTTTGGAGAGCATCAACGATCTTTTCTCTGCAAAGGATGTTTCTCCCACGGTTAATTTCTATGTAGAGTGTTTCCAAAGCAGTATATGTGGTAAGAGGAAATTATCGTCTTCTCAAAAAACAATTTTCATGTGAAAAAGCACTGCTGTGTAAGTGAAGACGGCTAGAGGCAGTGGACAGACAAAATGGACCCTTCTCATTGGCGAGGTTAGGTAGTAGACCTTTCAAGTACACTGTAGCCCAAACCCTACCTGCCAATTTATGCGCAAAGT